GGCGCCCCGCCGCCCGAGAGCACCACGGCGTGCGGGATCCCGATGGCCCTCCAGCGTCAGGCAGGTGTTTCTCCAACAGAAAGGAAAAAACAACTAGCAAAGGCGGCTGACAGTGGCAGCAGGTGTGGTAAAGGGGACAGTATTCTGCTTACGGGGCGAAGATGTTTCTGGAATGGCAGAGGCAGCGCAGTAGTCACATGAGGATTTTAAAAGGCCGCCCAGCAGGGCCACCTTGAGCTAGTTGAGGGCAATCACGATTTGTTAGTGTTAACGAGAAATTCAGGCATTAAATCTCCCCCACCCCCACCCCCACGGGCATTCCACTGGAAACAGTTTCTGTCTCCGAAACTGGCCAAGCTGCATACTTATCGGGAGAACAGCAAGGAGAGCATACTTCCTAGAGTTTATTCTGTGCTAGTGTCTTGCGAATTCTTCTTGGATAACAAAAAAGGAGGGGAAAGTATTATTTTGCAATAAAGACACTTGGTCTTTCAGTGTGATGAAACACACGCGCGCGCGCACACACACACACACACACACACACACACACACACACACTTCTAGAGGAATAGAGCAATTGCAAATTAAAAAGCCTCCCTTTTCTAGATTGTAATGCTGGGCTCCAGATCTTTCAGCATCTCTTTCTGTGGCTCACTTTTAAGAGCCCCCTGCAGCTGTGTCTTCACATTGAAAAGTCAGTGGTCCCCCTTCCTACACAGGAACACAAAAGACCACAGGGCTGGGGCAGAGACAGTTGGAGGGGAAATCACTTTCCTTGAATCTCATCCAGAGACAAATTTGCATTCGAATGAAAACACTACATTGTCAACCTCTTCTGGGCAGGAGGTCTGGGAGGATCCCGGCTTCCCTGAGGAGCAGAGAGGTTTCTGAGCGCAGGCTGGTGTGAAAAGTCGGGTGGGGTTGCACACACAGAAAGAGAGGCGCTGGCAAGGAAGGCTTTGAAATTAGGGATGGGAACTGGGCGGGGAAGAGGAAGCTGAGGAGATGAAGGGAAGGGTGAGAGAGACTCAACAGATGCTATCCATTAAAAGTTTCAATTATGCCTCTCCACCCGTTTTGGAATGGCAACTGGCAAATAACAGACTGGGCTCTTCCATCCCCACATCCACAGCATTCCAGATTTTATCTGGGATGTCAGACTCATGCGAAAAGCTGAGGGAATTAAAGGAGCAACATCAAAATCCTCTAGTAAGAGCTGCATGGAATGACAGGGAATCAAACTGTTGAAAGACATTCTCCATGTGAGGGGTGTGTGTATTTATTTACATATAATATACACATTTGGTATGTATATGTAAGTTTCTCTCTCTCTTTCTCCACTGACAAAGATTCTCTCCTTGAGCAAACTCTAGTCAAGCCCCTCCGTTTTGAACGAGGCCCTGTGTTCATCTCTGCATTGCACAGTTTTAGCAAGAATCCTACAGAATCCCTTCCTCTTCCCCCATGTCCGCTCACCCTCCCTATCAGACAGAGTTCCTCGTCTCCCACCGTCCCCAGGCGGCATCTCAGCACCCAGGCCTGCCTTCTGCAAGCATCCTGCCGGGTCACTTTAACCAGAACCCCTTCCCCATGGTGTTTCCTCTTAGCAACTTTCTGCCCACTGACCCCGCCCTGGTCTTCAGCTATAAATTCCCATTTTTCTGTTGTTATATTTGCAATTGCACCCAGTCTAGACTGAGGTCTCTTTCCCCTATTGCAATCATTTATCTCTGAATAAAATCTGTATTTACCAGTCCTCTGTTCAGTCAGATTCTCCTCTCACACCACAGAGCACGTATTTTGAGTTTAACAGTCGGTGGGAAGTAACTGTAAGCTCCATGATTTGTTCAATGATGTGTCTCCAGAAACTAGAGCAAAGACTGATTCACAGCAGAGATGCCACGAATGTTCACGGAATGAATGAAAAAACTCTTAGTAAAGCTGGTCCCGAGGCTTTGGCAAGGAGGGCTGTCATGCGCAGAGGAAGGTGGAGAAGCTGTGCAGAACTGCGCTTACCCTGAACCCCCGAGAGAATTCCAGCAGCATCTAGAGCACAGGGGTGCTTAGACCCAATTCTTGCTTTTCTCTTGGAAGAAGTTCTGAGCATGAAATGTACAGACTGGGCTTCTCAAACCTGGCTGCACGTTATAATCGCCAGGGGAGCTTTTGAAGAGGTCCCAGTATCCATGCTGTACTCTAGCCATTTAACTCAGAATCTCTGGAGGTGAGGCTTAACCATCAGGCTTTTTGGAAGCTCACCAGGTGATTCCAGTGTGCAACCGAATGTGAGAAAGAGTTATGCCTAGAGCAGTGGTTTTCCAAGTGTGGACCCTGTTCCAGCAGCTAGCATTCAGAGCAGTGCTGGCATCACCCCCTCGTTACTGACTCAGAAACTCAGAGGGAGGGGCCCAACGGTGTGCATTTTAGCAAGTTCTCTGGATCACAGGGATTTTGGTGATCCCTAAAGTCTGCAATCCACTGAGCTAGAAGAGATTGTGATGCAGGGGATGGAGTGGGGCAGAGTGTCTGCATTTCTAGCAGCTGCTGCTGGTCTGGTAAGCACTTGCTAAGGTGCAGGCAGTCAGCTTCTGCCTTCCCTTTACTTCTGCAGCTCTCCTGGGACCTGAGCAGTGTTCAGCAGCACAGGGCCCAGCTGGCAAGGGACAGGAGAGCCTCAGCAGCGATTTCTGTGAAGTCTTCCCGCAGGAGCACCAGGACAAAGAATTCCAGAGGGTGTGACGACAGCCCCTTGCTTACAACACAACAAACACTTTTCCTTATGTCTTGGATATATGATATTCATAATAACCATAGAAGACATTAATGGTGTTATTACCAAGTAGCCACAACAAACACTTTTCCTTATGTCTTGGATATACGATATTCATAATAACCCTAGGAGACATTAATGATGCTATTACCAAGTAGCAGAATCCTACATAAGAAAAGCCTAATATGCTAAGTGCCTTGTAATGCATTCAACCAATTAAAACGTAATATGCTAATGAGATGCTAAGGCCATTCAACTGCTTGCTATGATGTGCACTGAGCACCAGGGGGCAGATGCTCCAACCAGTAGGGTAGCTTGCTGCTGGGGTCCCGCCAATTGGGAGATAGCAAGATGGGCCGGACACACCCTAGAGCCCTCCCATGTCCCTCTCCGGCCCTGATGATGCACTGGTGGGGTCCCTTGGCCTGGCCTGCACACTCTTGCAATCCAGGACCCCTCGGAGGATGACAGAGAGCCGGTTTTGGCTCGATCCCACAGGCCAGGACGAGGGACCCCACTGGTACACGAATTTGATACCAATATGAAAAATTATTCTAATATTGAAATATTAGAATGACACAGATCCTAGAGAAACCTTGAATAAATTTTACAAACACTTTCCTTTTAATCTGTTGGAACTTTTTTTTTTTAAATTTGTTGGAACTTTGAGTCTCAGGAATGCTAACTCTGCTGGATACTATTGTCTAATAAGGTTTGTTAAATAGCCGCAAATCTGCCGAAGTTTTGAGAACTGCCACACTAGCTCCACAAATTTTGACAGGCTGTAGTAGCCAATCAAAAATATTTCTAAATATTGCAAGATGTTGGTGAAATTTAGCCAATAATTTTTACATGAGAAGAGAAAAACGTAACCACTAAAATGTTATATACTCTTTCAGATTGATATTGTTCAGGGTGGAAATGTTTAAAATCTTCACTGTCTAATATGACAGCCAACAGACACAGTGGCCTAGTGGGCACTTGACATGTGCACTGGATTTTAACACACATTTGATCTGAACTATTTGATTTAAGTTGAATTTAAGTACTCAAATGTGGCCAGTGGTGACCTTACTGGATCACACAGTTGTATAAGCCCGAATTAGACAAAAACAGTAATCTTTAGGGAGCTTGTTTCCATTCTTGTGTTTATTTTTTTGTTCCATTGTGTAATTCATTTAGCAATTCTTAGCCAGTTAGGGATACAAAAGGCTGCACTTCAAGCCTACTGCCCAATTCATAGGCTGGCTTATTACTACCTAGCTCATTGGATTAGATATAATACATACACATTTCAACACACAAAGCATTGCATCCACTTTACTGTCGTGAAAGCTCAATTCTACCTTAAATGTATGTAAATACCACTAAACTGTAAATCCAATTTTAAAGTTAGAATTGCAAAACTTCACTTAAAAAATCAAAAAAGACAACCACACCCTTCATCCCTGAGGATGGTTGGGCATGTGTATGTACTAGCAATGGGAATTAAAATACTATTTTCACTGATGATGAGACCTTTAGAAAAGATGATATAACAATTTTTCAATAGATTTGGAGAAGATTGGGCTCCAAAACTGTCCTGGATCACAGCATGAGCTCTTGGCAGGAACAGTTCCTGTTGGTGTTTTTATTTTCATCTCTTTGAAGGGCTACTTTGTCATTCCCACCCCTCCAAAATGGGGGACCAGGTATGTGAAATTGACAAGTAGAACATTGCCAGCAGATGCCCTGACAGAATAGCCTCTGACAGGCAGAGTTTTGTGAACATAAAATGTCATTCCTTTCTTGGTTCCTATTATGGGAACTTCATCAAGAGAAAAATGAAAAACATTACTTCCAATTTCTATGAATGCCGTATGTAGCTTACACCTCAGATTTAAAACATGCAGGAATTGTGTTTTAATGAAACAGGAGCAATACACCTAACTCAATAAAGCTCTGTCATATTAAATATTTCATCTGCGTGATAGTTTACGTGTAAGTTTCAGAGGGATCAGATTTAGAATATACTACAGTAGTGGTTTTTATATTATACTAGAGGCTCAGTGCATGAAATTCATGCAAGGGACGGGAGTCCCCTCAGCCCAGCTTGCACCCTCTCCAATCCAGCACCCA